AAAACCACTCTATAAAGGGTTTTATCTAATTGAAGAAGCTATCCAATTTGCTCAACAGTATCTTGGAGACAGCTTTTTCATTAGCCCTCATCTTTCTCCAGATTTGCAGGGACCTTCAGGTGAAATCATGAAGACCACCTTAGCCCCACTGGCGGGTGGAAGACAATTAGTTCCCCCACTAGGAATTAATCAATATTTAATCGAAGGATCCTCCTCAACTTCTAAATCTATTCCATTAGTGGATGACGCTTAGAGGCAACTCAGAATGTATTTCAATCCACATGTTCCCTTATCCAAGCTACCAGATGATTCAAGACAGCTAATTTTCCAAAAAGCAGAAGCTTCAGGCCATGCTAAATTGAAGGCAATTCAACAATTCCTTCAATAGATAGCCGAAGATGGTATTAACCGATCTGATATAGGCTTCACATGGGACACCTATTATTCTACTACAGAAGGAAAACTCAAAAGGTGTAATAGGTGTGAAGGAGAAACTGCAGATGGGATTCCACTTGATAGATATGACTGTCAATGTCAACTCGTTTATAGCATTTGCAGAGTTTCTCTAGATCTATCCTCCTATGAACCCATTCAGTTTTTATATGAAGGGGAAATCATTGAGTTAACTCCATAGTTACTCCTTGATTATGGTTTTCTCTATCAATTAATTTTTACAAAAATGGCAGATACTGATCTTGTTGGAAGAAAGTTTGCCATAGCTGTCTTAGAAAGCATGCCTCCCAACTACATTGAGGCATTGATTCAGAGCAAGGCCCCTGAATGGAAGGGTAGATATTTGCTTCTGGCACAGCACAAAATTATTTTAAGAAGAAGGAGCAGTTTACCGCCTCTCTACAGAGACGCTCAGGCCTGGCCATCCACTACTCAATCCCTCACAAAACAACTCAGACACTGCAGAGCTAGAACAATGGCCCACATGCAGGTCATGGGAGATGATTTTTCAGCTGGATACACCCTCTTTACTGAGGACAGTATTCAAAAAATTTATCTTGATCCTGATGTGTTTATTCAGAGTTAGAGTCAAAGAGAGATTTCCTTCTCACCTCAGATGAGTTACACTCAACTACTAGATATTTACTTTGAGGAATATAAAAATGGTGAAGATCAATATGAATATCGAGGCGTTGGAGACAATTTGGGTGACGACCTTCCCAATGATGACCCAGATGATCCAGAGGGTATAGCCTTTTATGATGATCTTGACTCTGTTGGGTGGGAAAATCTCGAAAACCAAATGGAGGGATAATAAGTCAGACAAAGGAACAGGCATGCCTCACTCCAAAGTGACTGTCATGAGACATGTTCCGCAAAAGCCGGTTACTTTTTATCTTTCCCAAAAGATAAAGATGACTAACTTTTAGTTACCTCTGTAAATAACCTTAGGGTTAGTTAATCATAGTTAGTTTTATGTAATTAGGGTTACTTTTACTGCAGTTATTTTGTAACCCAGGTTAGTTTTTCTTCCTTTAAATAGGCATTCGTAGAAGTAGAAGTTAAGGTGGAAGAAGAGTAGTAAGAGGTAGAAAAGGAGAGAGTCTACTCAAAGGTTGTACTCCGTTCAAATCCTTTGTAACTTGCACTCTTTCAAGTATGTATAAAATATATCTCATGTTATTTTCTTTAATGTGTTATTTAGCTTAAACACAACTCTTTGGCAAAGAGAATAGTTTGTAACTTTTGTTTGTCTCATTATTCTATATTCATATACTTATATATAGATGAAGAGATTCCTGTTTCAGGCTATTTTCGACTTCTTTCGCAAAGATCTTTAAAAAAAAAAAAAAAAGGGAAAGATAATTGTTTTTCATGACCTACACCACTGTGGAGAGTAAGAAAGTTAAACCTGAATAGCCTGGTAGAGGAGAAATTCTTTACTACCTAGCCCTACTGAAAAGTATCCTTTTGAAGCTGAGAATGGCGTTTTAGGAGAAATCACCAGGGATTTGGAAATCAAGTTTTCTTGATTGGGTTGGTCACTAGCTTTCTTGGGAAAGAGGGGGTCACTGGGTTTTGAAAAACTTGAAAAGATAATGACTTAATGGGTAAAGAAAGGGATCGAAAATAAAAAAAAAAATATATTTTTTGTTTTATAGCTTATTACTTGTAAACTCTCCCCGAAGAGGAAAAAACAAGAATGAAAAGCATAACACAGTTGCTCGTTTCATTGAAATTCACAATAAAGTAGTGTAGCATACCAAAGTAAACTGTTAGCTTTCCAAAAAACGGGTATCTGTGTCTGCAAAGTCCTAACACCTGTTTACCAAAGAGAAAAAAAAAAAAGATCCTCGCACCAAAGTTAAAAGGGATTTATCTGCGTCACGACCGGATAAGTAATAATTATTAATTAATAATTATTATTTTTTATTTTAAAAATGATGAA